TCCACACGTGGTGGTCTTGTAAAACTACCCAAAAATTTTGGCAAAAAATCAGAAAATGGTTGGAGGAGATAACTAAAGAACAAATAGACTATAAATCAGAGTTCTTCCTGTTAGGGATCTCTGATAGATATTTATCCAAAAAGACAAAATATGTAATAATCCATATTCTAACTGCGGCTAGATTAGCATTTGCTCAATGTTGGAAATCACCTCATACACCTTCAGAGCAAATGGTTATTCAGAAAATTTGTGAGTGTGCTGAAATGGATAAACTAACTATAGCATTAAAAAACAAAGAGTCCTCAACATTTTACGACAACTGGGACTCATGGTATAATTGGCTTACACAGAGACAAATTATGTAAATGATATAGAGTAACTTAAACATAATGGAAAAGAGGAGTAGATTGGATATGACGAAGAGAAATGATCCTTACAGACTGTCACAAAAAGATATCGTTCGTTTTTAATTGTACTTTCTACCCTATTCTCCCTCCCCTTCCCTTCCCCTCTCTCCCTCTATATCTTTTCTCTTCCCCCCAACCGGCCTTTATCCGGTGTGTTAGGCCGGGTGTTTTCTTTCTTTCCCCCCAGCCGTTTTCTTTTTATTTTGTAAATGTACCATTGATGTGTTTTTAAATTGTAAATTCAATAAAATCTATTTAAAAAAAAGAAAGAAATGGGTACATATAAGAAAAATAAAAGAAACAATAGGACAGGGACGGTAGGCATGTTGGTGCGCTTATACAGCCCCCCTACAGACCTCTTAGGAAAGGGGTGAGGTCAATAGTAGACAGTCTAAGGTTAAAGTTTTTGGGGTTTGGGGAAGAAACTAGAGTCAGGTAGAGTATTCCAGACATTGATCACTCTGTTGCTGAAGTCGTATTTCCTGCCATCAAGTTTGGTGTGGTTATCCTTGAGTTTGTATCTATTGTGTGCTCTTGTGTTCTTATGGTTGAAGCTGAAGTACTCATTGACTGGTAAGTCATTGCAATGTATGATTTTATATACATACTTAGATCAGACCGAAGATGGCGTAATTCAAGGTTTTCTAGGTCTAAAATTTCAAGTCTGGTGGCATGAGGTATTCTACAATGTGTAGAGGCATGGAGAACTCTTCTTGTGAAATATTTCTGGACTTTCTCAACTGTGCTAATATCAGATAGGTAATGTGGGTTCCAGACTGATGAGCTGTATTCGAGTATTGGTCTAGCAAATGTTTTCTATGCTCTAGTTAGTAGTGTGATATTACCAGAGAAAAAGCTACGTAGGATTAGGTTAACAACTCTTAATGCCTTTTTGTCTATGTAGTTACAGTGGGCTCTAGCACTTAGATCATTAGAGATGAGTATTCCAAGGTCCTTTACAGAGCTTGGATCATTAACAAGGTCTTCACTATTCAGCTTGTATTTTATTTTCTGATTTTTTTTGCCAATATGTAAGACAGCATTTATTTGTTAAGATTTGAACTTGCCATTTGTTTGACCATTCTGATACATAGTTAAGATCTTTTTGAAGGGTAGCAAGTATTGTCTGGGGTATTGAACAGCTTTACAGCATCAGCGAAGAGAATACAGTTGCTCTTAATATGATCACAGAGGTCATTTATGTAGGGTATGAAGAGAGTTGGTCCTAGAACACTGCCTTGGGAGACACCACTATTGAAAGGTACAGAATTTGATAGGACACTCCCAGTTTTGACCATTTGTTGTCTGTTTGACAGGAATGCTTCTATCCAATTATGCAGTTGTCCAGAGATACCATAAGATTTTAGTTTTAGGAGTAGTTTGTCATGTACCACTGAATCAAAGGCTTTACAGAAGTCTATGTAGATTGCGTCTATTGCTTTGCCCTGATTAAGTTGTGTAGTCCATATGTTTTTGCAGTGTAAGAGTTGCAGATTACAGGATAGTTTGTTTATTGGAGAGTAGGTTGTTTGTCTCTAACTGGAGGATAATGGATTGGTTAATAATTGATTCCATGACTTTACAGGTGATGTAGCATAAGGAGATTGGTCTGTAATTTTCAACTAGGCTGGGGTCTACCTTTTTGAACATGGGGATGACCGTGGCTTGTGACCAAGGAGCTGGTCCTGAAAGATTTTTCAAAGATGATGCTTAGAGGTTCTGCTATGGCAGTGGATAGCTTTTTAAAGAAGTAGGCACATATTCTGTCTGGTCGAATAGATAGAGATGGTTTTAGATTGTGTAGTGCTTTTTCAACATTGTCTTCTGTAAAATCGATATGTATTAGATCATTGTAGTTTTCTGTGGTTCGGCTAGGAAATACTGGGCATGATCCATTGCTGTTTACAAATACTGAGCCAAAGAATGTATTAAAGATGTTGGCTTTAATGGTGTCGTCGTTGCAGTCTTTACCATTAGGTCCTATCAGGGGTGGGATGGACCTTGAGTCTTTTAGTTTGTTGTTTACAAAATTGTAGAAAGCGTGGGTGGAATTGGTGCGTAGAAAGTTTTCCTCTTGTTTAATGTGATAATTGGTGCATTCAGTCCTTATCTGGTGGCATAAATTTTTGTATCGGCTTTTAAAGTTTGCAATGTGACCAGATTTGTTTTTCCGCCAGAGTGATCTCTTTTTGGATTGAAGTTTCCTTATTGTTATAGGTAATCTGGTTTTTTTTTTGGGGGGGGGGAGTTGTTGTTGGT